ATTTCACCTAACGCCGAAAAAAAAAAAAAAAATCACGTTTAGAGTCGGCTCCTCCAGCGTGAATCCCCCCCGGGGAAGGGGGAAACCCGGCGTGTAAAGGTTGAGATGGCTGAGGAAAACCTGCAGCACCGCAGACCCCCCTGGCACAGGAGAGGGAAGAGCCCTCCGGCAGCTCTGCCCTGACTCCTGTACGAGCTCATTTTGGCAGCACCCGCAGCCAAACGTGCGGGAACACCCGACATCCCCCTCCTCCGGTGCCCCCCTCTTCCCAGCACATCCCTCCTCACTAGTTCGGAGCCGTTACCTTGGCAGGGACCTTGCTCTGCGCGCTGCGGAAAAAAGAGGTTTTTGCCGTGAAAAAGCAATCCTCGAGGTCTTCATCCAAACTGCAGTACCCGCTGCTCATGCTGCTGCCGATGGTCATCGAAGCCCGGCAGAGGCGAGAGGCTGAGGGGGCGCGGGGGTCGCCGGGGGGCTCGGGGGGCCGGCGACCATCGGGGTCCCCGCTGCGAGCCCGCGCTCACATCCTCGGCTCGCCGGCGCTTATCTGCGGCAGCAGCTCCTTCTGCTCATCCTCCGGAGCCAGCCGAGCTACTCCTCTTTAACAGGCAGCCGTGCCGGGTAACCCTTCCCTTCCCTCTCCTCCTCCACCCGCCTCCCTGCGCAGCGGCGCCGGGGCAGCATGGAAGGGGCAGAGCCGCAGGTTCGCTCCCGCTGCCGGAGCCCAGCCCGGCCGGTCCCGGGGATGCCCGCGCAGCATCGCCCTCGCCTTCGCCTCCCCTTCCTGCCCTCGCCTCGCTCGGCGCGGCCCCGGCCACTTCCTCTTGCGGAATTTCTCACCCCGCTCGCAGCCGAGGTGCTGGGCACTGCCCGGCCCCCCCTCCCCGGGGACCCCCGGCACCACCTTGGTGACCCCAAAACACATCGCCGGGGAGGGCTGGATGCTGCCCCGTCCCTGTCAGCAGCCAGGGCATCGCCTGGTTTTGGGAGTCAAGGCCAGGCTGGACCAAAAGGTGGTAGGGAAAGCGGGGGGGGCGGGGGCTGGTGAAGGTGCAGCCTGAGACCCTCCTCGGGGTCCCAGAGACCCCTGGCTATCACACTGCAGGAGGCACTGGGTGCCCCTCTGCTCTGCAGATAATTTTTAGAGCAGCAGGAGCAATTTCAGAAGCACTGGCACCCAGATGAGGCAACTTCAACTGCAGCCCAAGAAAAAGCCCTTCAGCTCCTGGGTCCTGCTTGCAAGAAGCTCCAGGCTCATGAAAATGCTGTGCTGGCCTTGGAAAGAGGCTCAGAACAACAGCATCATCCCTGGTCCCCTCAGCCCCCCCAGCCCTGCAGGGACCCAGCTCAGCACTGACCCACCCCAGCACTCCCTGCTCCATCCCCTCCAGAGCTGCCAACCATCCCATCAATACCCTGTGATTTACCCAGCAGCTTTTAAAGCAGCTGTGACCTTCCTGCTTGGTGAAGATCACAGGTATTTCTGGAGCCAGGCAGGGGAAGAGCTCTGCTCCCCACAGGCTTTTCCTCCTCCCTCGGTGGGGGATCCCGTGAGGGGCTGTGCATCCACGGGGAGCACATCCCAGCACATCCACAGCCACCTGAAAACACATGTTTGTGAGCAAGTAGAGGGGACTGAAGAAAAGCCTGACACGCTGTGTTATGAAAGACCCTGCTTAGGCAATGCAGAATTAATGTACGTGCTAAGAATTCTTCACCACACTTCAGAAACGGAGGAGGGAACGAGGCCTGAGAGCACAGAAGGGTTTGGTTTGGAAGGGACCTTAAAGTTCATATTGTTCCACCCCCTGCCATGGGCAGGGACACCTTCCACTAGCCCAGGCTGCTCTGAGCCCTGGCCTTGAACACTTCCAGGGATAAGGAATCCACAACTTTTCCGGGCAATCTGTGTCATTGCTTCACCACCTTCACAGGGAACAATTCCTTCCCAGTACCTGAGCTAAACCTGCTCCTCCAATTGGTCCAAAAGGGCTCCATCCAAGGCCTTCACAGCCACCACCCAGCACAAAAACCTCTTCCCCTCTTGATAGGCTGCAGATGGTGCTCCAAATCTGTATCTGTTAGTTGAAGGACTTAAATCACTCCAAGCCTTTGATAAGCCCCGTGCCCCGCTGCCAGCAGCATCCCAGGAATACAAACTGAGATGTACATGGCAAAAGACTGGAGGGAGGAGGCAACATCTGCATCTCAAAAAGAGGAAGGCAAGAATCCAAGTGGCTTATTTACAAAGCAACTGGTAACAGTGTGGAATAAATAAGCCATGCTCTCAGCAGCAGAGTCCTCCTGCAGCAGCACAACCCCCCCTGCTCCACGGGGATATATTTAGAGGAGAAAGAGGCTTAAATTGAGCATGTGCAACACTAGCAGAAAGTGAGTGTTGGGCTGATGATCAGCACTGGTGTCTCCTATGAAGTCTCAGCCCCAGGAGTGTCACAGGGGAACCAGGGGGCAGCCCCATGTGAAGCTGGGTGCTCTCCCTCTGCATTGCTCCATGGGATTCTCCAAGAAACCCCCACTTTTCCATTGCAGTCCACCTGCGTGGGAAATCAGCTCCATAAAAAAAAACAACAACCCAAAAACAGAACAACTAAGCCAAATAAACCCAAGTAATTTTGGCCTGTTGGTCCAGCAGAAGCTCTACTTAATGGTTACCTGCACATCAGCCCCTCCCAAACCCACCCACTGGTGACCTGCATCAGTTTTCAGGGGGGAAGTACATGACCAGGGACCAAACTCCTGGTGCTGCCAACACCAGCTGAATCTGGATTTCAGCTGGGCAGGCTGATCTGGGACCCAAATGTAACACACTCTTAAGTACTTTACTGGATCAAAGCCCAAATTATTAATGCCTGGTATTACAAGGTAACAGCATTAAATATGTGATAATAAAGTAGTTATTTCTCCGATGCTTCCAGCTTGCTTAATTTTGATAATACTATTTAATGACTTCCAACTCTGCCAGCTATTAATTTTTCCTGTCTTTCCAGAGTGCAATCCCCTTCCCCTCCTGCCAGCATATTCAGGCATCCTGTTAGTCTCCTACTGGAACACTGACACCGCTTTCCCTCCATCCTCCTCCTTTCCAGCAGCAAAACCTGCTTGGCCAACAGAAACACTCCAGGAACGTGGCTGTGTGCTCAGCTTTATGGGCTCAGATCAAGTAAACATGATTTTCCCCTGATTATCCAGCATCCATAAAAGAGAACAAAGCCTTATTGCGGTGATTTAACCCTCATTAACCCTCAAACCAGCCCCCACACCTCCAGCTTCCCCCAGCACAGGCAACAAGGCTCCACCCAGCACTTTGCAGTACGAAAGGTTTCGAGGTACAATCCCCGACCAGGACCTTGGGATTGGGTTTATGGATTTCTGTTTGCTGCTGGAATTGGAGAGACACTTTTGTTTCCTGGGCACAAAATTCCACCCCCCCTTCCCTGGGATCCCAGCAGAGCCGTGTCAGAGTGATGGATTGCCACTGAGCACGGGCTCTGTGTTTGTTATTAGGCCCATCAATAACCCCGGCTGGTGTTATCGCCCCGAAGATGAAACGAGCCTTCCTCATTTTCCTGAGAGCCAGGCTTTTCTCATGCTGCTGGGGGAAGCCCAACAACATCCACCACAAATCTGCCTTCACACCCTTATACAAACACCTCAAGGCTCAGTGGGGAACCCACTCTGAGCCCCTTTGTAACACATAACTTAGAAGATAAATCCCATCTCACTTCAGATCCCTCCTGGCCAGTTTATTCTGAGCAGCACCTGCCCAGCCACGCATCAGCCAGACCAAGCTCAGCAGACCTTGCACAGCAAAGGATGGATGACAGCCAAACCCCACACACCCAACAGAAACCCCGTGTTGCCTTTGGAAAAGTGCATGTTTCCATCTCCAGTTCTGCACAAGCACATCAAGGTCCTCCACAGAGAGGGATATAAACACAGCCTTATAATGAAGGTGAAAACACAGAATCACAGAACCATTAAGGTTGCAAAAGACTTCAAAGATCATCCAGTCCAACCTTCAGCAAAGTGCCCACTAAACCATAAAATTAAGTGCCACATCTACTCATTTCTTGAACACTTCCAGGGACGGCGACTCCACCGCTTCCCCGGGGAGCTGTTCCAAACACTTTAAAAAAGAACACACAGAGACTGAAAAGGTTCCGTTTTCAAGTCAAATCCACTCCAGGCAGGTTTCTAAGCGGTGCCTTAAGCTTCCAGCATTAAGTATCTTCCATCCCACGTGGCGTGACGGGAGCCTCTGCACCCTGCAGCCTGTCCCACCCACGCTGGCTCGCAGGACACTGCGGCACAGACACCTCGGGACCCTGGGGGGATTAAGCCAACAGCTAAACCTTCCGGAGTAACCCCGGGATTACTGCACATGCCTAACGCAGATTGAAGGGTTTCAATCCCCTGGGACTACTGAAACTCTTAAAACAAGGCCATTAGCCAGGACTCCTGGTGAAATCTGCACCTGTGCTCTGTGGTGACGCAGGAAAAACGCACCTTTGCTGCTGATTTACAAGCGCTTTGCTCAATTTAATGACAAAATTTGATGCTAGTGTCGGTGATCCCTGGCAGGCACAGGGACATGAACCACGTGACGAGGGGGCTGATGACCCCTCAGGGCACTGGGACATGGCCAGGCTGCAGAACATGGACCAGCATTCCCACATGGCACAGCTCCTCTCACGTCCACTCCAGAATGGGAGCATTTTAAACACAACAAAGTTACACACACTCACCTCTGCAGGGAGGGAGGTGCCCACATGCCCAACCTCCAATCCACCAGATCACACACCCACCCAGGCAGGACACCTGGGCATGGTGTTTACAGTCCATCAGTGACGGGGTCTGAGCTCTGACAAGCCCTCCCTCCTGGAAAACCCTTTGGGAGCAAGACATCAGGTCCCTGGAGGAGATGCCATCGGTCACCACGAGGCTGTGCCCCCCCTCCCCGAGCCCCCTCCCCGTGGTACCTGGCTGCAGGGTGGCAGCAGGGTGCTCTCTGGGGACAGCTGGCCCTGGCACGGCCCCGGCCGGCGGCAATCCAGCTGGATGAGGCTGCGGCACTCCTGGTGACACGTGTATCTGCAGTCTGCAGGGAGAGAAGGAGAAGGTGAGGCGCCCAGACCTGCAGGCTGCGGTTGAGGGGCGGTGGGGGAACCCCAGGAAGGGACTGGATTCCAGCTGGAGGGCAGACAGATGCTGTTGGGCACCAGCACAGCCCGTTCAGGGTCCCCACTCAGGGGGGAAAGGCACCAAAACACCTCATCCAGAGCAAACATTGCTCCCCTGTCCTCTCCCCAGCCACATTCCTGCCATGTGTCCCATTGTCTTTCCCCAGACCTGGCACACTGACACACAAAGCATGGTAAACGCCCCAACCCCACCAAACCATGGGGTACCCACTCCCCAGTTCTGCTCCTGGGAGGAGTCACCTGCAAAACATCTGGACCAAAAGCTTGACCACTGCACAGGATCCTTCACCTTTCACCACCAGGAGGGAAGAGACATCTTTGTATTAGACAGAAGTCAAAGTATTTAAGGTCACTAAATATCACAGAATCATAGCATGGTTGGGTTGGAAGGGACCTTAAAGAACATGTTGTTGAACCCTCTGCCCTGGGCAGGGACACCTTCCACTAGCCCAGGTTGCTCCAAGCCCCTTCCAACCTGGCCTTGGACACTCCCAGGGATGGGGCAGCCACAGCTTCTCTGGGCAACCTGTGCCAGTTCCTAAATACGAACACTGCAAGGGCCAGTTACAGTGATTAAGGCACAGATCCACCTCCAGGCTGCCACAAATCCTCCCCTGGAGAGGGCAGGGACACATCCCAGCCGGAGCAGGGGCCATGACCTCCTGTCCCAGGTGCAGTAATGCATTGGCACAGTGGTTTTTTGGCTGCTGACCCAATGTCAGACATTAACTAGTTCAAGGAAGGAATTGCACAGACACTGCTGAGCCCAGGTTTAACCCCTTAGGGCACAGGGTCCTGCTTGCCCACGGCTCCAGAGGGGCAGCCTTTGGCACAGAGAGCTCCCTCCCTCCACCAGTTATCCCACACTCATGGCCATCACTCCCACAGCCCTTTCCCTCGAAGCCCCAACTCCTCCAAACCCACCTGACTGCAGCAAACAACCTCCTTCTGCTTTAATGGCCCAGCTGAGCCTTTTAATTTTTAACTGCCGTTCAAACAGCATTAAATTTACTTTTACGTTATCCAAAATTCCAGAGAGGTCACCAACCTGAAAAAAAAATTTAAAAAAAAATCCCCAAACCAAGGCAAGAGGGTTCACCCCACAGAGTGGAGTGCCTGTCCCTGCACCTGCCCTGTGACCCCACTCTGAACCACCAACCCATTTTAAATACCCTTCTTTTCGCTTTTCTTTTTTTTTCCCCCCCTTTTTTCCCTTTTTCTTTAGCATTTGGGTCAATGGTTTTGAATATCTGGGGCTGGCAGGAAAGCGAAGGAATATCCCACGTTTGCTGTGGAAACAGTGATTTCTGCTCAGCTCTGGTGAATACTCCAATGCCCCAGAATGAATGAGAGGAGCTGAAGCACTGCTGGGAGCTGGTGCCTGAGGGGGGAAGCATCAATCTCCAGGGGAAAGAGGGAAATCATTTATCATTTAACATTCATGTGGCGTGAGCTGTCTATCATTCTCCTATTCCAAATCAGTTCTCTCAAGTCAGCCTGGGGGAAAAGTAGGGAATCTTGCCTTTTTTTTTTTTTTTTTTTTTATTAGAAATAAGCTGCAGTTACACAGTAATTTAATGCATGACCTTTTGAGCAACTGGAACAGCCTTTTAATAGGGGACATTTGCCAAGTCTTTGCTGGAGGTGCCAATTGGAGAACGCTCCAGCTGCGGGTTCACCTGAGCATCTGCCACCAGAACGTCCCTTCTGCCTGTGTGGCCCCAGATTTTCACATTTGGGCAGCTGCCTCCTGGCTCTTTCAGACCTCCTGGAGTGGGAAGAGCCCTCCCAGCACCTGGGATAAAGGCAACCAGAGGTGTGACACACTTGTAACCTGGACCACAGAAATGCCAGTTCCCAGGCACACCTCTGGATCAGGCCCATTGTGGCCAGGCATTTCTTTAGGGGATTAAAGTGTGACACCTCCTTAGTCACCATCACCTATTAACAGACCTAATCATCCTGTATCCGGCAGGGAACACTAATTTTAGAAACCCTGCACAGCTTTAGGAAGCAGCCACGTGACAGGTTAGCCAAGAAGAGCAGGATGCCTCCACTTACACTTCGAGATAATTTCCATTCCAGTCAAACAAAGGAACGCTTGGAAATGTAGTTTCTTTAAAAAAAAAAAAATTAGTCTGATCGTGATACTGTGAAAAACTTGGGTGGAGAAGGGAATTTCCCTTTCTCCAAAGATTAAAGTCTCTCAGGGGGATTAAGCTGGATAGAGTAAACCAGTCCAATACAGATGCTCATCTCAAATCCCTAAACACAGGGCTGCAGTCACAGAATGGTTTGGGTTGGAAGGGACCTTAAAGACCACCCAGTTCCACCCCCCTGCCATGGGCAGGGACACCTTCCACTAGCCCAGGTTGCTCCAAGCCCTGTCCAACCTGGCCTTGGACACTTCCAGGGATGAGGCAGCCACAGATTTTCTGGGCAACCTGTGCCAGGGTCTCCCCACCCTCACAGGGAACAATTTCTCCTGTCATCCTGCCTGGCCCCATCCTCCCATCCCCACCTCCAGGATACCACAGACCCCCCTGGGGCACCTTTCAATTCGACCCATCCCATGTGGAGATGGAAACAAGAGGAGAAGGGAGGTTCTGCTGGAAGGGGAAAATGTGGCAGAACACTCCAGAATCCTTCAGGGGCTCTCACACATCACACACACCTCTCAGTGCAGGCTGCACCCGAGGCTGGATTTTGCTGGGTGCCTCTGCCCACACCCCACGTCAGCGGGGTGACCTCAGTGACGGCAGCAGGATGTGGCCCTGTGACACCAGACAGTGGGGTCAGGCGGCTCCTCCTGCTGTGAGGGGACAGGGCAGGACCTGTGGCACCACCACAACCATCAGCACCCCCAGAGTAATGCAGGGCAGGGGCTCAGTTCTCCTGCAAGACACATCCCAACACCCCCCCAGCACCGACCCAGCCCCATCACTGCAGCCCCCTTTGTCTCGTCGGGTTTAGGTCTCAACCAGATGGTTTGGGTTCATTTGTTGGCAAACACAAGCAAAGCCCCAAGGGGGTGTTTCTTCTGTTTGTCCAGAGCAGCCAAGGCCCCCTGGGTGACAGGCACCCTTCTGTGATGTCCCTGCACTGCTGCAGCATCTGGAGCACAAATGCAGCTGCTGGCGGATGCTCTGGAGCCTTTTTTTACTAAAAGGCAAATTTTCCTTTACAGTGGAGCAGCACTCTGTGCTCCTGCCAGAGCAGGGCTGAAAAAGGAGCCAGAGCAGAGGTTGAAGCCTCCTGGTGTCACAGATGTGGTGGCAGGAGATCATGCCAGCCCTGTGCCAGCCCTGCTACCTGCCAGGCAGGATCCCTGCGGCTCTGCAGTGCCACAGGAAACCCTAAGAGCACCCCAAAGAGCAGCAGAAAACCTGCACAGGGCCAAATCCCCCCCAAACTCACACCACCACCTACCTCTGAGCAGCAAGACCTCCCTGCTCTGCCTCCTGGGCAGCTGCAGCCCCTCAGACCAAGGCTTGGACTTGGGGAAATGCCGGAAGATTTTCCGAATTCTCTTTGTTAGGAGCCCAAAGCAAGTGGCTGCTCCTGCTTTGCTGTCTGTCATCCTTGGGAGAGGAGATCCAGAGCTCTCCAGGCACACACAAAGCATGCTGCTTCCACGAGGGGCCTTTTCTCCCACGGAGATAAAACCCTGACATTGCCCATTCACAACCTGCTGCCACTCGACGGGGTTATTTATTTATTTTTCTGAGCAATGAGGCAGCGCCGCAGCTCAGAGCTTGTGCATCTCTGGGCCCGTCCCGTAAGCCATGGAAAACTTTCTATTTCTGGGGCTTTTTGCTTGATAAGATAAAACAACCCAACGGGAGAGATTAGAGAGAGAAAGCGCAGGACCCGGCCGTGCGCTGGGAGGTCTCTTCCCGGCATCCTCCCTTTGCTTTGCTGCTTTTCCCTGCAGTCTTTTAAAGTTTAGGGGGTGGAAAAAAAGTCCCCAGTGTTTAAACAGAGATTAAATTAAAGAAATACACTGAGATGAACTACATTTATAGGACTGAAACTGTATTTATAACATGGATTCAAACTCTGCACATAGCAAGGGTTTCTAGATTCTTTCAGAGCAACGAGAAAAGTCACGTTATAAAAAGGAGGGAGTGTGACCATTTACACAGACAAACAGTGCTAGGACAGGGGGAGTGGTTTTAAACTAAAAGAGGGGAGATTTAGATTAGATGTTAGGAAGAAATTGTTCCCTGGGAGGGTGGGGAGGCCCTGGCACAGGGTGCCCAGAGAAGCTGTGGCTGCCCCATCCCTGGCAGTGTCCAGGGCCAGGTTGGATGGGGCTTGGAGCAACCTGGGCTAGTGGAAGGTGTCCCTGCCCATGGCAGGGGGTGGAACTGGGTGGTCTTTAAGGTCCTTTCCAACCCAAACCATTCTGTGATGTATCAGTTACAACAATATCACGTGTCAAACCAAGAACATCAGTTCAACAACACACTTGAAATCTGCTACTTTGTACCCACTACACCATGACTGTCTCCTCTCTGCTCAGGACTCCTCTCTACCAGCAGACCAGTTTCCAGTGTCCAGTTTCCAGCTCCCTGCACAACACACTCTGGCTTTTGCACAGGGACTAACAAAGATGGGATTTAACTAATCCTAGAAATCACACCAAGCAGCACAAGCAATGAGTTATCACAGGGGGCTTCCTTATTCACCCAGACGGCACCTCTGCAGCTCCACAGATCCCTCCATCCCACGTGGAGACCAGTGAACTCAGCTACACACATTGGGCCAGGGATGAAGCAGAGGGAGAAAAGAGACAGCCCAAAAACTAACCTGCAAGGCAAGAGCTGGAGCCTCGGCCGGTGT